TGTGGAGTGGCACTCGAGTCGCTCACCGACGACCCCTCCTTGGCTCTTGAACTTCAGGGTTACACATGGGTTTTTGAAAACAACATTGAGCTAGCGAAAGCTCTTCCGAACCCTTTTTGGATGGGTGGGGCTATCGCCAGAGGCGTGCAGCGCATGCAACCAAGTATCCAGAACAATGCATTGACTTATTTATTCGTGACATTTCATTCCAAATCTCATGCGGAGTCGATTTGCTCGTTGACGATGGTCAAGAACGGCCAGTACTCGCCCTGGGTCGAGAGTCGCCAGCGAGGGGAGTACTATTCGGTCGCTGAAGTGAGGGAAGTACTACCTTGGACTTTTCCGCGTTCCATATGCGCTAAATGCTTCCCCTCTTCCCTCGACGGCAGTTTTCGGAACACTGGAATACATTCAAAAAAAAACTTCCGGAAAAGTGGTAGCAAGTTGGGAGGAACTAGAGAGAAGGGAGGTAGGACGGAGAAGAGGGATCAAAGTTTCCCAACGGCAGTGCGTGCCCTGAGAACGAACCTCTACTCTGCTTATCTACCACTACAGGTAAACGTTGTCGCGAAGAGGTTAAACGAACGGTAAAATTTTCAAATTGCTACTGTAGGTGAAAAATTCCGTAAGTACACATTACTCCGATTACTTCGATGAGAAGACGCCACGGATCGCGCAGCTACGGCCGCGTTCCTTCATCGCCGCGTTTTATCGCCTCGGTATCTTCATGCCCACATGGGCAATTCGGTTAAGACGTGATTGCGGGATGAGATTGTGCGGGAAGTCATTCCGACTGATATATTACCGAATGAGAACAATTCTCTGGGCTACTGATGGGTTTTTTTTGAGAAAAAAATTTGCTGAATGGCCGTCAAAATCAGAACGCCTCCCTTGGTTAATTTACAGGTCTTTACAAAGTGGCCCGCACGAGCTCCGATGAGTACCATCTGGTGCCCCACCAAGCCGAACTGCGCGCTACACCTGGACAGAGTAACGCAACATAACGCAACAATTGGCTCACTACTCTCGCTTACAGGCCGTAGTCATATCTCGTTGGGTTAGCCCTTAAATTGGCATCTGAGCCAGCCAGGTGATAATGGTCCCTTCATAAACCATTATCGTAACCAGAATTTCACCCAGGCTGCAAGTATTTTCAGAGAGCGTTCTACGAAGGAACCTCCTTAGGGGATAGCTGTCCCAGTTTTTCCTGAAGCCTCGCATCAGCCTCCAACAGAAAACCAAGTGTCACTCATCGTCAGATTCAAAGAGCCGATAATGACTGTCAATCTCATCAACTGCCTCTGCCCACCCAGTTTCCCTTTATATGGAAAAATACCATTTTTCCTCGCCAAAAAAGAGAAATCAAGGTTTTCCTCCACTGGAGTATGGACATTCCAATTAGCAGATCGAGGAGAGAGGGGCCATAATTGCTTCAGGAAAAATTTTCAGGTTGTTGATTTTTTCCCATCCCTCCGTAATTGGCAGCACCGCAGAACTATTATTTGTGGTAGTTGCTCGGGAGTGAGTTCTTCCCTGTAAAAATTCCGGTAAAGGATGTTAGCAGACAGGCAGGTGAGTTGCTTGGACTGAGGGACTCACTTCAATGCCCTCAGCGTCACTCTGGGATATACAGGGGGGCCAAAAAAAGTCATTCCGGCCGAGTCACATATGAGCGAAGTTTTCGCAGCCCAGACAGAGGAAGTGGATATGAGTACCAGGGCGGAAGATACCCAAGATCTTCCTCTATAAGCAGGAGCCGGCTGCCGCCATTCACCTTCATGTACACCAAAATATGAAGTCATCTCCAGTCGCGGCCTGAGTGGAGAACGCCTTTGGAATTCACGTGGCCTCCAAACAGCTGCGGAACTTCTTGAATGGAATCACCCATGGATAGCTACCTGGAGGTCAGTACTCTTGATCTGCAAGACCTCCCACATCGACCAGCTACGGCAACGTCGCTACGGTCTAGGACATCATCTTCACCCCATTCACCAAGGCGCGGGTTGATGGTGTGGACCGGCCGTACCTGGAATGGATGAACCGATATTTTCTTCGTGGGCCCCAGACTGAGGGTGTGCGCTGGTGGCTACATCGAGCAACTCGAGGAGAATATCCCATCTTCATGTCGTCGCCCGTACCTTCTTGGAAACTTTGTACTGCTACAGGATTGGGTGACAACACATTTAATCGAAGGGCGTTGGAAAAACTTTCGCCTACTTGGAATGGAAGAACGTTGAGTACCTGGAAAAGATGGAGTATTTAAGCGGGGGTCCTGAACTAAACCCCCTCAATTACTCGGTTCGGGCGGAGCTCAACAGGGTGGTCTACAGTGGCCCACTCACTTTCGCGCGGCCGAATCTCTCGATGGCGCTCCTCCAGAAGGCTGTGGCGGAGTATCATTATAGTATTTAATGTGCTCTTTAATATGGTAGTAAAAATGTCCGATAAAAATTTAATAAAGTGTAACTTATAGCGCCTTGAAAGTCATGGAGGCAAAATGACTTTTTTTTGCCCCCCCCCCCTGTAGATCTCGCTTAAAAGCGTTTAAATTTAGTACCAAGGAAACCCTTTTCATCCCAAGCCAAACACGACCATCTCTCTCCTTGATGCGATTCGAACAACGATGATGGGATGTGCCGTGTTTACTGGTTCAAAGCTGCAGTTAACATCTAGCAGGGTGACGAATTCCTCCCCCTCCCGAAGTCGGCTGAAGCCAACTACAGTACCACGCCGTTGTAGAACTACCATGATGGGTTTCTTCTGAGCTTTCTGCTCCCTGCTGAACAAGTACTTTTCTTTTTGCTTATCTACATGCAGTTTGATTCCCTGGAGAGGAGCTCTCATCCGGAGAATATCTGATATTGCGGCTCCTATATCATCAACGACAAATGCAAATGTCCTGCTAAATTTATGGGAGGAACACACTTGGAAGTAGGAAGAAAGGAAGCTAAAAATACTTTCAAAGTCAGTGAAACCTTTCTGAGCAGCGCGTAACGCGGAACTCTTAGATTGCATCCAGGGAATACCAAAGACTGTCTGCTTTGGAGGGGCAAAGCTAACCTCCTACACACAACATGCTACCCCACATATTTTTAACCAAAAAGTAATCAAAAGGTTTCCTCTTCAAACACAGCCCACGCAGATCGTATGGGCGGAGACAGTCATACATCATGCCCCCCATTGGCGTGCGCTCCTCTTACCGTCCTGTGGAGAAGCGCACCAGTGACTGAGGCACAATTGTTGACTGTCTCCGCCCATTCAGCAAAGGTGGATTTTGAGGAAAAATTTTGGAAAATTGTAAGGTATACCTCATTTTGAGATATAGATCGATTATCCAGAAAAGTTGCCGGATCTAGTGGTCTAGTCCTCAAAAGTTTATTTTCAGATATACCACATAAGCTGTTTCAAATGTAAAACCTGTGGTAAAACCCTAGCCGGAACGTCGTTCTACAATATTGATAACAATCCCACATGCAGTGACTGCTATAACGTACGTTTATGTTTGCTATTTATTTTGTTTCTTATGAAAATTCACTTTCTCCCTGGGCAAGGGATGAGTCTCCGCCCATCCCGTTACTGCGGAATGTCAACTTCCAATAGCATCTTCAAAGGCACAGCCCATTAAGGAATAAGGGCTTTTTTCAGCGATGTTTGTCTTTTCCATTCGACGATAATTTCACAGTGGAGGTCTGAGCGGATATTCATAGCCTCATAAGCGCGGCTCCCCTCTTTCTCAGGTGAGAAGAAAAAGTGCCAAAAGAAGGAAGTCGCACAGGTGATAAGCTCCGCCCAGTCGATTATCGCGGAATGTGCATTGGAAAATTTTGAAAGTTTCCCTCAAAAATCCAGTATCTAGTATTTTCGTTTTCATTTTTTGATATTCTCATGATACTCCTGGAAGTTTGCGAACGAATTCTCAGGTCAAAAAACCTGAATTTGGGTCAGGGTTTTTTATGCGCCTATGGGTTGTACCATAAATAGGTCTCAGTTCCGAACCGCGAAGGTATTTGGCTGTTTGTTGAAGCTGCACGAGCTTCACATCAACTGCTGAGGGGGGCTGACGCTCAAATCGGAGTCCCACAGAACCTTCCAAACAGTCTGCACTTATGAGCCGGTCGCAGAATAACCTACATCGGGGCTGCTAACGGGACAAACAATCGGCAATGGCTCTTTAATCCACTTCACTATAAAAAAAATAGGATAAAAATCTGGAATATAAATTGTCTCTCCGTCATGCCTGGCTATTTTTGAATTTACCAGAGTTTTTCGTAATATACGGCCCAACGAAATTCCGTATAATTCCCCATGGTGCAGTTCGGCGACGGGGGGGGGGGGGATTCGCTTCCATCGATGTGTAGCCTTTTTTCGAGTTTGTGAGACGTCTCATCGATGTGTAGCCTTTTCTCGAGTTGACACGTTTACCATGATGGCTAGACGAGCTTGCTCCAGCTTCACAAGAGTTCACAAGTTTCACCAGAGTGAGACTTGTAAACCGGAACTAGTGAAGCAGTGAAAGTGCGAAATGCCCCTCCGTCGCCGAACTGCGCCATTCCCCATACTGACCCAGCATGTGAGTCCCGGCTGCCAAAAATAGCCTACTCCGCATTGAACCCGGTTGCTAAAAATAGCATAACTCGAAACATGAAGTCGTAGTAATTGGTGTTGTGACAAATGCCCATTTCCGTGAGACATCATTGCTGGTTTGCTGACGTCATCCGTCCATCTAATCCACTGCAGTTAACGGGACCAAACGGATCTGAGCTTTGGCTGCCAGCCGTTGTCGGCACATCCTCATGGGAACGGCTAATCAGACACGAATCGCTCCTCATAGCAGTTGCAACAAGTCGAAAAACGCGCTGGGAAGCCAGCTTGTTAAGACGTTTTTTGGAAGACACTTTGGTCCGTGGGTTCCAAGGAATTGAAAGTGTCCCTCTTTTGGTCGAAACTCCCCTTCACTTACTAGTGGTTGGAATAGTCCCTCAATACCCAATTTTTCGAGCATGCAGCTGAACTTCGGTGGTACCAATCTCCCAGAAGTCGCTGTACGTGGCCCACACAATCAATCAATCACGCTCATTTTATTTAAAATTCGAGAACACGGCTTATCCCAATAACTCGTCTTGAGAAGTCAGAAGAGAGAAGAACTAAAGCCGCAAATGGGCGCGAAAGTCACGCCCTACTCTGTGCCAGGGTTGTGATTGGTCCATTGATCTACCTCATTAATTCACACCAATGATGAGCTAGGGAGACC